TGATGGACAATCTTCGGGGATTTTAGATTGGGAACACAACAAAACACTAACACTCAGGGATTTGAGAATAGTCAGACGCCTGCTAATATCGATGATTCGTTTTTAGATCGAATCAATGAATTGTTAAACTAATTCAATCAATGGCACCAGCGTGACCAAGAAGAACAATAACGTCGTCTATCATTTTATTTTTAGATCATATGTTACTAATTTTATGCTTCATTGTAGTCCATGTATGTTGATATACTTATTCCATGATAATTATATGTTCATCCTTTTGTGTGATGTAAATTAAATGCTGAATGGCGGTTCATGCAGGGAAAGAACATATCAATATTCGCATATTCATTCAAAAACATGAAAATTCTTAATAGAGTACCTTCATTTTTTATTGAATTCCTAAAAAACAATATTTATAATGAATTTTAATAAATTTTTCAGATTTTTTTTAAACTTTATTCTGACCGATTCACCCGATTCCCGATCAGAATCGCCGATTCGCCGATCCGGATCTGTTTTTTAGATACCCAATCTGGATCACCGATCCATTTTTTAAACCATTGATTGGTACTATGGCCAAAGCCCCAACCTATTCTATTTGTTGGTACTACGGCCAAAGCCCCAACCTATTCTATTTAAGGATCTTGTACATTAGTAGCATTTAGTCAACTTCAAATAATTGGGATGAGGTTTTATAATGGTAATGATGAAGATTATTAACACGTTTTTAAGGGGAGTCGAATTCAACGTCATGCAAGTGGCACTGGCTGATAAATATCTTATTCCAAGTATTTTTTATCATAGTTATTGGGAAAGTTATAAAAATTATATTTTATTTTTTAAAATAAAAAGCATTTTATATTTGACATCCAAGTACAACTTTTGAAAGTATACAATTTATTTTAATTTTATCTTTTTTCGACACACCAGTTCTTACCATCAGATACAAATAAAAATATTTAAAATAATTAAAAAAATAAAATTACCAATTTTTTGGCTATTTATTATTCTTGATTTTTTTAATATCTTTACAATTGTGCAATAGTGAGAAACATGACTGACCCGGGTTAGGTCCAGGTTTGGGTCGGGCTTGGACCCTATCGGGTTGGGTCGGGTCCAAGTTACAAGGACCCAAACCGTACTGGTTGGGTTGGGTTTGGGTTCATATGAAACCTAGTAGAGTCGGGTTTGGGTTCCTGTGAAACCTAGTCGGGTCAGGTTTGGTTCAAGTGAAACCTAGTCGGGTCGGGTTTGGGTTCCTGTGAAACCTAGTCGGGGTCTGGTTGGGTTCAAGTGAAACCTAGTCGGGTCGGGTCTAGGTCATGGTCGACCGAAATGGAGACAAGCTGGGACACCTAATGCGTTGCCAAACCTACAGGAGATGAAGAGATGCATCACAAAAGTTAATGTGACGTGGAAAACTTTTCAATTGATCATTTTGACTTCTAAATATTTGAATATTGAAAAAAAAAAAAAAAAAAGGCTGCAATTCATAAAAGGATTGTATCTCAATAGGGGAGAATAGCTAATTTTTTCTATTTTTTCTAAATATTTGAATATTGAAAAAAAAAAAAAAAAAAGGCTGCAATTCATAAAAGGATTGTATCTCAATAGGGGAGAATAGCTAATTTTTTCTATTTTTCCTAGCTATACGGTAAAAATATGGCACACCTACAAAATTTACTTGGAAATGTAGTTTAGGTGTCAATATTGAGGGAGAGATGTAGTTCTGGTATCGAAAATTTATGACGGCTGAAAATCTATTCTAATACTTAATGATGAAATTAAAATTTTAAAAAATACCAAAAATTGAACGGATATATAAATACTTAAAAATCATAAAAACAGACGGTCTAGATAACTTGTTACAAAATGCTATTTTTAAGACTTGAAATTCTTTTTTTCCTTCATATCCATACATGTGGAGGTCAAAATGATTAAATGTAGGGTTCTCCATCGTCAGGACATTCTAGAGGATTTTTCATGCACCGTACTTCATCAGTATAAGGTTGCTACCATATATAAATTTTTCCTTCAAAATAGCCAATGTTCTTAGCATTATTTATACAAGCGGCATTCCAAGGGTGTTGCACACAATCGCCTAGCAATACTAAATCCGCACATTGGACGATGATAACAATACTGATATCGAGTAGTGATCCATTCAAACATGCTTTCTACAAACTGCCATTGGTTGACAGTGATTGAGAGACCAATGCCAGTCCCAATTCTCCAAACGGTGAAAGGTATTTCCAAAGCATTCAGACAAAAGCATCTTAATGTAGAATTTCCACTGCATTTAGACAAAAGCATCTTAATGTTTCAACTCTCTGGCTCTCGTATCAAAGAAGCTGATTATGATCTATGGTTTACCAACCACAGGTTTTACAGGGGCCTAACAGCCACACAAAAAGGGAGTGCTGAGGCATGGTCGATAGCCCGACAAAATAAGGACTGATAGGGCTTTATCTTGGGAGCACTGAGACATGATTGATAACCCGACAATTTAAAAGATTCATACTCCATAGGACCTGAATATGAACTATTTTGAACTTATTTACACGGAACAAGATAGGATTACAAAATTTGCTGATGAGGATAACACAAACAAATATCATTTTCAGCAGAACTGGTTAAGAGTTAAATAAAGACTAGTTACAGTACAGGCATGTCAGTTAGAATCATATTTCAGTTCCCTTATTGCTTTTTCTTTAGCTTTAGTGATGTAGAAGAGGAGGATGATGCTGAAGCAGAAGATCCAATATCTTGACCTGAAGCCCTTATAATGAAGAGAACAGTTTCGAGAAGCATTGCAGATACCAATCCGAAGATTCCCCCTGCTGCACTCTGGAAATTGAGGAACAGAAAAGGCCAAAAAGATAAATGAGAAAACCAGGATTGAGATCTAGAAAAAGAGGGTGTATATAGTATACTATGCTCCTGCAAGAGTCAAAAGTACATTTGCTCCCTAGACAAAAGGCCCACTTAGGAGGATTTTTTCATCTGAAATTTTGGGAACCACTTTTGAGTCACATGATAAGTATTCTCTTTAAAGAAAAAGGGTTTTTGCATTCCTAAACATCTAGAGTGACCAACCAAAAATCGGACAATCTCTATTCAATCCTAAGACATGATTTCTTTAGGCAAATCCAGCATGTGTATTCGACTTTTTCCTTTTAGGTTAGTCGATAGGTTGAGCATTACATCTCCAAAATTGGGGATCAGAAAAGTACTCATTGTTAGGTTTTCACCTAAGGAAGCAATTATATATTTTGCTCCCATAATCATCATTGAGCTTTATCCCAACTATTGAGTTCACAAGAGAATAAAATCTCTTCTTAAAAACAAAAATACATGCAAATATTTTCATATATCTAGCTTGATGTCTATAATGTTTCATGTTAGTCAGCTAACAAATTTGCAAATAGATTGTCGACATTTTGTGTGTCTTTCCAAGTTGCGAACCAGCTTTTATTCAATATCAAGGAAATGTTGGTCATCAAATTACATTAACAACATGCTCAAAGCATATGCCACTAAACGTGTAGCATAATTATGTCGTATTTATAAAAAGAAAAGAAAAAGAAAACTAGATTCTTGGAGATAACCAAAAGGCTCTTGGTGTTTGGAATTTGCAACTTACCTGAGTTACCTCTGATTAATTCTGGGACAGTAGGGCATAGCGTGAAAATTTTAAAAAATAAACGGAGAACGCGATGCTCTCTCAATTTAATAAAAAAGTGAATATTAATTGTTTTCTTTGGAAGATGAATCCATGAAGCACTCTTTGATCCATGATTTTCCCCAAAAAACATAGTCACACTTGCAAAAACGACGCCCCTACTCTGAGAAGAACCAAAACAACATACACTGTGTGAGGATCCCAAATCAGTGGATGGTTTCCCAAAAACTAGTTCGAGATGATGTATGAAATAGGGAAAAACCTTAACATGGGGCTCCCATTCCATATTTCTCTTTTATGTAATATAATTCCTTCACTCCTTGCATCTCTCTTAAAATGTTTTTTTCCCAATTTTTTGGATAATTCAATGTTTTTCTCCTTTTAATAGTCGCATAACAAAACAAGGAACAAAAACGCAAGATGTGACATACCATGATTGCGCTTCGACCAAACAAGGCCCTGAATCCAGCATATCCAACCAAAAAACCCGTGAACATCGTCACAATGACATGGAGACCTGTATAAGCTCAAGCATTTTTAGGTTACAGATATGTGCTAGTAAACAAAACGCCAATACTTTAGAATACAAAACTTGCATGCTAATATAATGCAAGAAGGAGAAGCCTCAAGGATGGAATTCTCATGGCCAATTACAACTAGAAAAAAATATCTTTGCATAATTCAAACAGCTCCAAGGTAAAAAAAAAAGCAGAACCAGGGAAGAAATGCTTGTATTTTTCATTCACATTCAATAATATGTGAGGAAGGTTTACAAGGATGCCTAAATCTATTAGGTAATCTGGCAATCTTTGACAAAACCACTTTGCCTAGAAGATATAGTCACCTAATAAAGGCTATATTTACCAAATATTCTAGTGTACAAACTTCAAAGTGGGTCTTATATCCATGTCTCAAAACTTTGAAAGCATATATGCAAACTATGAAACAACCAAAATGTGATTCTCTCGCAGTTCTGCAGTAGATTTCATAAATAACCAGGGTTATTTGAAGAGTGGAACGAGTTATCCAGAATTACTATAGCATAGACTAGAATGCTAAACAAACGAGCTATTAAGCAAACCCTAACAGAATATCATCTATATGTCAAACACAAAAGTTTCACCAAAGTTATCAAAGTTGTAATTTGTTATCACAACCAAACTATCGAAACTAAGAAATTTTTTTTGGACCCATCTACAGTTACACAGAAAAAAGAACAAAAAAAGGAAAGGTGTGGAACCTCTTAAATATGGAAAAAATTCATATAGAGCTAAGGCTCTAAACAATCAAATTAGAGCTCACCTCAAAAATTTCACTAGAATAGATTGTTTTGATGATAAAATATTCTCAAATTGATCATCTCGACATCATGATGCATGGGCATGGGAAAGAAATGAATTTCAAAATTTGAAAATAGTGCATCTTGTAACGCATTTTTGGGCCGTCAATTTTCAAGGTTTTCAAGTTATCATATATCTGCTCGATCTGCACTATTTTTGAAATATTAAATTTTATAATTAAAGATGAAAAATATATTTTAAGGCTATCACACAGATTTCCAGTATTGAAACCATATTTCTCGACAATATTTTAAGGTGGGCTCTAATTCAATTGTTTAGAGCCTCGGCTCTATACAAACCGCACCCCTTAAATAATTGAATAGGTTCAGTATTTTTTTATTGAATTAAGGGGACGAGCATGTTAAAATTATAGAATTGAGAAATGTGGCCCATAACCAGGAAGTTTGAAACAAAAACTACCACAATTCCATAAAGTAAACAAACTCAAGCATCAAATAAACAATGCAATATTGTCTATACAACAAACCAATACAGTAAACATTACAAGTTTTCTGATTGGTAATAGATCATCAAAAGTTTTAGCGACGTGCCAAACCCAATCTGATCTCTGTAAGAAGAAAATGGTTCTTCTTGTTTTTTCGGAGCTATATCCTTGATGAGATCATCGTATGCTTTCTTCTCAGCATCCTCTGCGAGTTTCCTTAGTCTCTCCTTCAGCTCTTCACTCTACTCGGCAATTTTTTCAAGCCATATGATTATATAAGAAATTGAAAAAAAAAAAAATTGAACACAAATGATCTCAAATTAATCTCCAAAGAAAAAATGGTGGGGTTGAGTAATTATCTTAAATTGGTCTCATAAAAGGGGAGAATACTTACAAATTAAAACAGCAAAAATTAAAGAAAGAAATTGGGGGTTAAATTTGTTTGACACAAAATAAAGAGCAGAGAGATGCAATGCATTGAAAAAAAACCCGGAAAATAAAAGCAAAAACCATTTTGGGGAAGTGAGTTTCCAATATTTTGGGACATAGGAAAAGGGAAATTTTGAATAGGCAAAACCGATGCTCACCTTTTCTCTTGGCTTAGGGCTTTGAAGGAGGAACTCAGAAGAGAAGAGGAGGGACAAGAGACTGGGCCTTTCAGAACAAGGCATGGAGAGCCAGAGGTCTTTTAAAGTTTTGTAAGGGATTGAATCCTTTGAGGAGAGATCCTCTGCAACTGTACGGAGATCAGCACTTAGGGTTTGGAGCTGAGACGCATCAAGCAAGAATGAAATTAGGGTTTTGTTGCTCTTGATGACGAGGCCCTTGCTCCCCTCCATCTTCGCCAATAAACTTTTCTAACTGTTTCAGTTTGAGACGAGCAAGAAGAGGTAAAATGCCATTGGTCGGATTAGCGCTAGAGAGTGAGAGAGGCACCTCACACTGTTAGAGAGAGAGCCTGTCATGAATTTACTCGGACGTCCAGTTTCTCTTCATCACCGTTCATTTATTCATTAACACCGATCAACCTCATGACTTTTTGTCGCGACTGGTTGAGAGGACTAAGTTGCACTGACCTTTTCATATGAGAAATTTTAAGATGCATTTGGATGAAGAATGAACGGATAAGATGGCATCTAGGTGTATCGGCGATTGAAACCCGTTCATTGTGGAAATGGAGTAATTAGTAATGGCAAACGATTTCTTGACGAAAAAAGTACTACTTGTTCGTTTTTACCTAGAGAAACCCTTGTTTATAAAATTATAAAGGAAAAATACACAAGAGACCGTTTACCTCTTAGAAAACGTAGTTCCAATAAATATTGACTATTGGATGTGAAATTGGGCGGCCGCATTTATTCTATTGACCAAATCCTAAACAATTAAATTCAAGAGTATCAAAAAAATTTACTAGAAGAGCTTGTTTCAATGCTAAAAACTCTCAAATTGATCATCTCGACCTCAAGATGTATGAACATGATAAAAAATAGATTTTAAATTTTAAAAATAGTACATTTTATAATGTATTCTAAATGAATTTTCAATATTATCAAGTGTTCATAAATCTGCTTGATTTATACCATTTTAAATTTTTAAATCAATGATGAAAATAAATTTTCAGGCTACCACAAAGATTTCTAGTATTCAATTAACATCTTTTGACACCATTTCAAGATGTGATTGTTTAGAATGTTTAGGCCCCAGCCTTATACAAAACAAATCAGGGAAAACCATAAATCCACCAAACCTTTAAGCAATCGAACCATTTCAACTCAAAGTCTAGGGCCCTAGGCGTAATCTCTTATACGTATTTTGGCAAATTTACCTACAAATAATTACATTCTTCATTAGAAATATGGAACCATCCGATGCCCCAATTGCATTATATAGAAACAAGCCCGCCTAAAAAATACCATGACTTCATTTGAGTTTTTCTATGTATTTTTGTTTCGAGACCTGGAGATTTAGACAGGGAATTAGCCTGAAGTCTCGAACCGAACTGTTTTCAAGATGGTAACTCGCCCACACTTCCCCCTCAAAAACCCTGTTTTTATTTTTTTTTTAAGCTTATCTATTGTTTTTTTTAAGCCCCAAAACCCCTCACTGAACTCCTATTTCATTCTTTTTCTAAATATTATTTGGATTGCCAATTTGGACTGATTCCTACCATTGATCCAACACGAATTTGTCGGGCGCATGATCCACCCCACCAATCCGGATTTTGAAGCATTGGCTTTTTTCTAATGAACCATGGTTTTAAAAATCACTCGCTTGAAGAAGCAAACAGAGATCATTAGGCAGCAAATCTAGTCCTAAAGAGTTCCTTAGAACCGTGACTCAGGTATTCATCCATAAATTATTCGTCTGTGGGTCTCAGGTATTCCACCTTAGTCCTCGTTCAATAAGTGGCCAAATTGAAGTTTCTTTTAAAGTAGTTTGTTCTTGGGAAGTAGGGCAAATAGAGCTGACAGATGGCCGGCCCCAGCCAAGGGCTGGGCCGAGCCAAAGAGGCAAGGCCGGGTCAGGTAGAATCAATAAAAAAATGAAGGGGAAAAAAGGGCCACACGGGGCCAAACCGAGCAGACCCTATCATGGCCCTGGCCTGGCCTGGTCCCGACCTCGAGCCACATTTTGTGACCCAATACCTAGTTTTTAGGGCTGGGATGGACCACCCGGCTCATTGCTACCTCTACTAACAATGGGTTGGTTGGTCCAAACTAGCACAGTTGCAACTCTAAAAGTGAAAGTTCTCACTCTCATCATCCATCCCTTGATCGAGCTGTAAGATACTTTTAGGGCTATAAGAATCATCCTGTACTTTCCTTTTGATAACATGGACTAACAAACGAAAGAGCAAATAAAACAAGCACGATTCCATGAAAATCGTAAACTACATGCATTTTCGAGCTGTTTACTTTGATTATAGAACATCTTAGTAAACCTCATATAATTGATCGGTCCACACATGGTATTTAGCCATTAGCCATTGGATGTTACAATGTGACATATGGCACTAAACTATCAGCCCTGAAAAAGTTTATATTAATGTGAAATTTATCAAAACATACAACTATTTAACATCTCACCATATATTTTGGTCTAATTTATATAATGAGAAACTTCTCAAAACATACTTCAAGAGTTCAACTGTTTAACATCATATCATATATTTTGATCTAATTTTTAATAATCCGTCATTCCCTCAACTAAATTCCAAATATCCATATAGTCCATCATTCCCTCAACTAAATTCCAAATATCCATATAGTCCATCATTCCCTTGAAATTTCAAATATCCCATAAAAGATATTTTTAAGAGTTCAACTATTTGACATCTCACCAAATATTTTGATCTAATTTTGAAGAGTTCATCATTCCCTTGAACAGATTTCAAATATCCCGAAAATGACAAATTTTAAAATGTATCAAATCACAGCTACGGTGAAATCTTAAATAGTTCAAACTTAAGCATGATTTAATTAATTTCCCTAAAGCTTTCCCTAAATAGGGCAGACACTAGAAACCACGAGGAGATCACAATTAAATGAACAGAAAACAAATTTCTCGCATAGGGTGTTCAAATTCAATTCTAGCTGCCTAAATCATCCAAAAACATAAAATGTAATGCATACTAATGGCACGACTCCATATAAAAGTTTTCATTAACCCAACAACAGAAAGCCTAAGGTAAAGCTGCGACATGGGGCTTTGGTCAAGTAGAAGTCGACACGGAAACATCACCCCTCTCCAGAATTGAAATTATTCCCCAATCACTCACAAAGAGTTTCTCCAGAAATCTGAAATACAATTTGAAAGGTTTTCTGAAGGGTGCTGTTTCTAATGCAAAACGCTTACTATAGAGCTTACCATTGAACTTGCGGAACCTTGTCAAACTACGATGATGCCAAAGAACACAAAAGACCTCCATGTTAATAAACTGTGAATTATCACAATCCCTTGGAACTATTGCAAGCACAAGAATAGAGTGCATAACATAAGCAAAACACTTGCCAACAAAAATTTAGTTTGTGTCCAAGAAAGCATCACAGACACAAAAGAGGATGCTGTTGCACATCACATGCATTGATATTAGGTTAAGAGAACATTAGTGCTAGTTGCCAATCAATGAAAGCATGCTGATGATTTCAGAACCAGTATAAAATGAAGTAAAATGACCATCAATCAGCAAAAGAAACAGATTATTATCAACATCAGATTCATTCATAGGTTGATCACTAAGCTCATGCTTAGACAGTCGAGCAAATGTGCAATGAAACAAGCAGTAATATTTTCTCATATATACATACATAGTTTCTTTACTATTTCTTTTTTTTTTGGAAGCTATAGTTTGTTTACTATTTCTCATGTGTGTTGTTTCCTAACAATCAAGAAAAAGACAAATGTTTGTTTCTTTTTACAAGTGTAAATGTATGCATGTGTTTACAAGCCTTAGGAAGAAATCTTCCCATCTGCCATCAACACCTCCGCTTCCTCTTCTCTTTCTCAGACTTCTCCGGAGCATTCTTTGCCTGCACAATGTATGATTAACAAAAAATCAGAATCTATCCAAACGAAAAACCTGTTTGTATCCAACAAGTGCACTGAATTTTTCAAAAAAACAATATTCACTAGCCATCCACTGTTGAATCAATGGGCATGATAATGTTAAAGCACAATAATAAATTTCAGTATGCTCATTAAAATTATATAACAATGATAGTGCTCAAAAGGTCACTAACCATTATGATAAGAAGGCGGACAAAGACAGCAACGAAGTCTACAAATAGATCCAAGGAATGCTTCACATAGTCCATGTCTCCAAAGTGAGCCCTTTCAATTATCTTCTGGGTATCCACCACCATGTAACCCACAAATACCAGCAACCCAAAATACAACTGCAGCACACCAAGGCATAGAAAACATAACTCCCATGGAAAGTAAAGACAAAACCAGCTCAAGGAATAGATAATATGGACTTAAATTTCCTAAAATTTCAACAAATTCAAGTATCTAACTATATGTCTTTTTTCAAAAACATAGAAACGGATCCAGATATTTGAAAATCGATTTGATATTAAGATGGATCCTCAGCAAATTACAAAGAAAACAATTATCGGCTTGTGAATGCTCAACCTCCAAGAAAATTAAAACACAGAAAGACAGTTCAGAGTATGGGAAGAAGAGTTTAGCACCTCAAATTTAAAGACTGCAGCAGAACCACCAAAGATCGAGGAGGCAAACTGCAACCAAAAGAGGATGGAAATGCCAGAGGAGAGAAGACCTCCAAGATAAATCCATTCTCGGCGCCTTCCCAACATAGCTGCCCCTGAGAAGCATCCAAATGCCAAAGCTGTTCCCACAAATGCACTTATTAAAATCCTGCAAAGACCGAAGTGAAAATATATTAAGAGTCATGCATATAAGACATGAGAAGAAACTCCACCATGGTCCCAATCCGGTCATGCCAGTGCCAAGCCAGATAAAGGAGGAGGGTTGTGTATGGTCGGCAGCCAACATGAAAGTTTTGCAACATCTATTTCATGAATCGTACATCCGATGGAACTTAGGGGTGGCTCTAGGAGATAAGGTATGGGAAAGTAGACTTAGGTGGTCTGCTCATGTGCAGTATTGACCTAGAACAACATTGGTTAGGAGGGGTGATTTGGTTCGAGTGGAAGGCTTTAGAAGTGCAAGGGGAAGGGCAAAAAGGGAATAGATGGAAGTAGTGGGAAGAGATAAGGTGACTTATGGTCTGAGGGTAAAACACTCAATAGAGTAGAATGGCCGAACATGATAAGTGTAGCCGATCCCAAATACTTGGGATAAGGGTCGATGATGATGATGATGATGATGATGATGAGTGAGATTATATGGATTTCAGCCCATAGCTCAGTTGGAAGGCACTTGTTACCAAGAAGTTATGGTTCCAACGAAGCTGATATACCAACAAAAATCAAACAATACATTATTTAAGCTAATTAATCCCTGTTTCAGCAATAAGAAACCAAAAGAAATCTAAACCGCATGGACGATAAATCATAATAAACTCAAGCTGATCAGAGATCTTCATTAGAGAAATTTATTTAAATTCATCCAAATTATCAACTATTTAACAATTCATTCATTTTCAACTATTCCTACTCATGGACATGTGTATTTTAACAGGCCTTTGAAGTTATCTAAAAAGTAATGGGTTCATCTCTTAGGTGCACTTTGATAAATTTCCTTTTCTAAATTATTAATCTATAGAATAAACATATTTCATATTTTTGTTATTATAATATTATTGCATCACAGTAAGGATTGTTTTGGATTGCATCCAATACATCCATTAACATGTGTGTGTAAAAAGATGCTTGTAGATTAGTACAAACGAAAAATCATATACTTGCCTCTATTGATATTTACTTAGAAGTGTCCATAAATCTAGTACTGATTGAAATGTATGCACTCTTCCTGGACATTTACCAACAGCATTGCACAGAACAAGTCTGATACAATGACATTGAAATAAATTAAAATGGTAAATTTCAGCTCCTCATGAGATCTCCTCAACACACTCAAATTTCTTTGTTTATATGGGCCGTCATGTCATTGGACAATAGACCTGAGCAAGGACTAATAATAGACCCTCAAATTGCACCATTAATGAAAAGAGGAAAAGCTTCATTTGATACATGGAGAAACAATACCTGTAAGGCATAGTTAAAGACTCCCTTATCTAGGATGAAAAGGTTGACAATTTGAAATGGACCAAGTAAGCAAGACAGAGAGAAAATGTAAACACAGGCTAAAGACCCTTTGAATCATATCCTCAGATCTCAAGTGATAGATAAGCAATCTGTCCAGTAGTCTAGTTGGATCAGATAATTTTTTTCAAACAGCACAAAGATCCTCTCCAAAAAATTGTGCTCCAAAGGATTTCTCAAATCCCATGGCTCTGGGACTAATTTAAACACCTACAAATTTTAGTTACCTACTATCCAATAAAAATAAGAGCATCCCAATTCAATTCTGGGTATAAGAGTCTCTGTTGAGGCCAAGAGTCATTACCAGTCACTTTAACAATGCTAACAAATTAAATGGTCGACTTGATCATGGTAAAAAAAGCAGTGAAGTCACTATGTTAAACAATGGACTTCAAATTTCAGTGAGTTTCTCAAATTGTAGTGTGAAGAATTCTCAAAATATAATGTCTATTTGGGAATCTAACCACCATCATCACATGGGCTATTCCATAGTGCTGCCACATTGGAACCATCATGTATTTGTCAAATTAAACGTAGAAAATTATACACTACAAACTACTTGGATATATTTTGAGTTTCTCATTTATAAACTTGACCACCTGAGAAAAATTGAATCAAGCAATCTTTTCCAACTTCAAAATGAATTATTCTTCACTGCATAATAGTAGTTACTCTGGGAGTCCAATGCGCCAAGGGGCCTCAAGCATTCAGGGTAGGGTATACACCTTTCACAACTCAAAACGAGCATACCCTTTTAGCAGCCAATAGTCCCAACTATTGGAGTGGAGGCTACGATAGTCCCAGCTTACCTAGCACTTTTGAATCACTAAAATTCTACAGAACAATCTTCTCATGAATCTTCATCCTAGTTACGTTAGGATGATATAACATTATTTGGATGGTTATCCACAACAATGGTTTACAGCACAACAATGGTTACAGGTTGCATAGGTATAAATATGGAATGCCTAGACTAGACATAAACATATTTATACACATCTATCAACAGATACAAAATGGCAGACTTCCATCAAACTTGCCAACAGTAACAAATCATTTTACCCCACTCATCAAGTGTTGACTACCTATCCAGAGGAAGGTAGTTTCACATCTCTTTATTGGTTGATTGTGTCAACCTCAGATTACCAGTCAATGAATTATATCAATCTATGACCAACAAATGAATTAATTTCAGAGAGCATAATAATCACAGGACAGAGTTTCTATGTCGGCTCATGCACACATGCCATCTACGCTATCCAACTTAGTTGGATGGTGGAGATTACGTAGATGGCATGCAGGTGTGCGGGCCCGCCTGCTTAAAACAATTTACCATAATCATATCATGATAAACTTATGCATTAGAGCCATATTTAAACATAACCATAAAAATTGCCAACTTAAATCCATCGAATTACAAGCGGACAGAAAATATTCGCTAAAAGGAATGATTTAACCAACAATTTTGGCTACTTTAGCTCATGAAAGATTCTGATAGAGTCAAGCACAGTTGCCATATTAAGTAGATCACTTCTCATCATCCTCGAGGCTTTAAGAATACCGTCAAATCAGTATTTCTAAAGACTTTCAAAATAAAAAGAAGAAATTAGTCTTGCCTCGGATCAATCTGAATAACCAGATCAATCAACGGACCCAGAGTAGCTCCATGACACAAAGCCGAAACCATCAAGAGTAAAACTCTCTTCTTCTGTTCAATCGAAAAAAAAAACATCAATCACAATGAATCCCATGAAATAGGAATCAAACAATCCAATAAAAAAAAATTTAAAAAATAAAGAGGAAAAACACATCGGAATTACCTCCTCATATGGATAAGCTGGTATCGAGAGAAGCCATCCCATACTACCCATACAAGCAAGGAAAGTGATAACCCCACCAATATTCCATAGAAGATGAAAAAAAACTCCAACAGCAGAGGCTATTAGGGCAAAACACAAGCACGAATAAACCTGCAAAAATGAAACCTTCAACCCATAAATTTCCACTAAAAGAAAAGGGATTAAGCCTGAAACCCCAATTTCTGACAATCAGAGAGATTTTTCAATGAAACTCACCCGCTTTAAGTGGGCCTGAACTGCCGGAGAGATTTGTCTGAAGTTCTTGAGAGAATCATGGCTCCGACCACGAGAGGAAGAGATGTTTGGTTCGAAGAATGATGAGAAGAGGGACGCCATTTCTTGCTCGATTTCGAGGTTTTGAAGAAGAAACAGAGATTACACAGAAAAGACAGTTAGAGTGGAGGTTTTCAAGAGAGTCAGAAAGCAGGTTTCAGAGTGAGAGAGGAATGGGGTTTACTGCTTTAGAGAGTGAGGATGTCGCGTTTCAAGGAGTCGTGTCCACCGCGATGAAACTAGCGAGTGACACGTGTTTGTGCGAGTCATTTACTGAAAAAAGTACAGGGTTTGTCCTGGGTCTCTTACGAGGAAATGAGTCCACCCTTCAAATTCTACTTTTGAGATCGGATTTTAAATTTTAAAGAACAGTCGTTTCCCACCGGTTGGGCCGTATTTCTACACTATGCAGTCCGGAGGTATAAAGATGGATGGAAATAGATAGTCCATTTAAAAATAATTGTAACTATTGGTCAAAATGTTCTCTTAATATATTTTTATTTTTATTTTTCAATTTTTGTTTCATATTCATGATCTCTATGATAAATAGTATATATCCTCTAAAAATTAGGATCAAATTATATATTCTCTAAAAATTAAGATCACATTATTTATATTTTGTAATTTTTATACAAGGTGGTCACAATAATCTTAACCATTGGTTTAGAAGTTGGGTGGCTGCAATTATTCCATTGACCAAGTTCAAACTTCAAAAAAAAAATTCTCGAAGTTTGTGACACATCCAAACGATTAAAATTTACATCAAATGGTTGTAAGCAATGGTTTAAAAATCGGATCGGTGACCCGGATCGGGCTTTTCAAAAACAGATCCGGATCGGCGAATCGGCGATCCGATCGGCGAATCGGCGATCCGGATCGGCGAATCGGCGATCCGGATCGGCGAATCGGCGGTCCGGATCGG